TTGATCGAGCCTCATCCTCAAGTCTTGTGTTTATCCCTCAGGATAGATACAGGATTTGAGGTAGAATGCTCTTTCATTTAAACTGTGAAAAATATGAGGTCAGTTTGATTTCATATTTTTCTAAAATTATATATATATACGTAAATTAAAAAGTCCTTCCGAAGCGGGCCACGGGATTTCGATTCCGGCTGCCGACAGCTTCTTACGGGCGACCCCAAACATTTAAAAACTAACTTTTTCCCCCTTTTAAGCGCCGACAGGGTGATGCAAGTAGAACCGAGGCTTCATTATCCCTTGAATCGGGAGCTTGATATTCTTTACAGGTCTTAATTTTGGCGTTCAACATTCTATAAAATAAATGCCCATTCGGAAAGGTTTTTTAAAGTGAAGGAGATCTTTTATGTATGATCATACCGACAAAACGAGACGCTCTGATGGACATTGTTATTTAATCCAACAATCGAACTTCTTAATCATTTCTTGATAAGCTGATAACTCAATTGTCATATGAATATTTATTGGAAGCTGATTATTCAATGAAAGCTTTGACAAACACCTTCGTTAACTTGCTTTTCCTTGAAGACCATGGCCACCTCGCCACTATTTATATGATGGGAAGATGGTTATGTTGTGCATAATGTAATTTTATGTTGTTAAAGGGTCACTTATTAAAAAAATAGTTCTTAACACAGCTTTTCAAATTATCTAGCCTGCTCTAAATTCTTCTCTATAGATATTAGTCTTGGTAGATCCTCCCTAATTTGTGGTTTCCTTACTATTGATGAATTCTTGATTTTGATTGGTTCATAATTATATGTCAGAAATCAAGCCAACATTCATTTGAATTTTTTTTTCACAATTTTTATTCTTCTATAAACTGAAATCTATGGTTTGATAGCAAACTTGATTGTGATCTCAAATGTTTCATGTTTTGGATCTCTTAAACGAGAGATGCGTGTGTTTTGAAGGCTTGATTTGGCTTTCCTAAACATAATACTCATTTCTAAAGTCGAACTAGCATGGCCCATTATATCACTATCTTGTTGTTAGAAATTGATTGATATGTTGTTTTATGCTTGAGGGGGCTGGGCTTTTGTTGTTAGTGCTGGCTAGAGGAAATAATGAAGGGAGAGAAGGAAAGGCTATCGTTTTATAGATACTCATCTCTCTTGATAAAAACTATTTTTCTTTCCATCCGATCAGATGCTGCCTAACCTCTTAGAAGAGACTTGCTATGGTATTCAATTAGTCATAGCTTAGTGGTGGGCTAATCCTTTCCTAGATTTCCTATTCTCATAGTTCAGCTTCATTTCTCCGAAAGCCCTCTGTGAATTTTAGTAGAAGATCATCAATCTGCAATCAATGCATTTTACAGTCCCAAAATATCATTAAAAAAGGTATTTTTCTTGATGAAATATCTCTACCTTGGTCCATAAGTAGATTATTTAGAGTTTATTTTAAATCTGAAATCATTAACCTACTATAAAGAAATGATATTTTATAATCAATTACATCTCATTCAAAATTATACCAGAAAATTCTTAGTTAAGTTAAAATATGGATCCGAAAATTGCATGGAAGACTCGCTATAAACGTACTAAGAAAGAGGTCATGGTAGTAGATGCATAAGATCTTGAAATAAATAAAATATTAGTATCAATGATACTAAAAAATTTGGTGTTACAGAATTGCTAATGATGCATAAGATCTACTATTTACAGTTGATATGCATATGCTATAAGGTACTTAATGAAATATATGGTTGAAGATATTAGATGCTGAAAGATTAAAAATTACTTGATGAACAGACACATTATAGATTATTTAGCGTATAACTTGTATTGTTCAGGCATCACACTTAGATGAGGGTGCATATTAAAGTGTAAAGTGGAACTATGAGCCTAGATGTATATGGATTACCTGATGATGTGTAGAGATTTTATTAACTACCTTAAAACAATTGATGTTTTGATTTGACATTATTTGAGCGCAGACTACTTTGATGACCTGAGATTTTTTCTGCCAGATATTCTTTCATTCTTGCTTATTGTAATTTGTGAATGATGTCGTTATTCTACATTTCTTATCTTCTTTCATGGTATGTGATGCACATTCTTAAGAAAAACCTCTTATATATATATGTATATATATATATATATACATATATATATATATATATACATCCGGTGTTGAAAACTGGATCACAATAGAGCATCACGAAGGGATGCCTCGTCAGGGAGTGAGTTACAAATCGGATTACAATGATTCACCATCAACCTGATAACCATGCATTGTTTTGCTAACAAAAATTCCTTGTTTAGGGATCAATAGAAGATATCTAGACTAAGAATAATCAACAAACAAAGCTAAGTTTATCGAGTCAAGTCTTGTCGACTCGATTACCATTGAGAGCTGACTGATAAACCCAATTCAACACAATCCAACGAACAGTTTTGTCAAACCACAAAAGGACTTGAGAAATATTTATTTATTTATTTATTTATCTTGATTTTTCTTTATCAATATGATTGATTAATTGTCCATTTTAGCTTCCGATGCTTGAGATGTATCTTATATTGTTGCAGATGTTTTGATGCGAATTTGGTTGAGGTACCCGTTGAGTGGGAGACGCCAGATCATCATTATTATCATGTATGTTCATTTACATCCTCAACAAGTACTCGAAAGCTTTACACAAATAATATTTCTGAAAACTTTGTAGAAGTTAAACTCATGCTATTTTTCATCTATCTATACACGCAGCTAGCCTTTTTTACTACGAGAAAAGTAGAAGCTTTGGAAGAGCTTACATGGGTGAGTAGCTTCATGTGATCATGTTGTTATCTGTGGCGTGTTATTATTTTTCTGTGTAATATTTGAACCTTACTTTTGGTAGCGTACTGTATGCCTGCCATTTTTTCTTTTTCGCCATAATTTGAGTTTGAACTGATTTGTTGAGGCGCTTTAGCGGTGAAATTTTTCTAATTTTTGTTTTATGCTTCTTGCTCTCTAGCATACGATTGTTCTTGATGGAAAATATTACATCAAGGGCTGCTACCTCATTGAACACTTTATTTAGGGGTTTAAACTAAGAGTTTGAGGATGTCATTATTATCATTTCCTCAGGAGGTCAGTTGCAAAATGCCTGACGGAAGAATGAGCAGAAAGCACTTATCCTGTTGGTTGGTTGAATGAATATAGAAAGAAATAAAATTGATAGTGTTATAATTTAAAGTATGCTAGACACTGTATGGAATGAATCAAACTAACTTTAAAGTTTCACGAATTACAAACTTCACAAGATTGAATGAGAAAGAGTTTCTAAAGCTTATTTAGATTGTTTGATATTTTGATCAAAACGATTCAGTCAATTCAGAAAATGAGATTCTTGCATTTTTCTCATCTGAATACGTCATTGCTTATGGCTAAAGAGGAGAAGTTGCAACTTTGGTTTTTTTGTTCTGAAAATCAAGATTGCAATGAGAGAGTTAATTGTTCTTTATTATTTGAGTTCTACCGCCTACATTACTTTTTTAATTCATGTTTTTAACATCTTTGCCTCGTTTTCTGTTGAGATGGTTTAAGACGAGTTAATCAGCTTCTTTGCATGTTAATAAATTTGTGTTTAACTGGCATTAGTTGTATTGTTTGATGCATGATGTCAAAAAAGAAAATCTCTTTGGACAAGAGAAACATAGTGTAGTAATGTGACTGAATTGTACTTAGTGATATCTTATTTTTGTAAAATTCATTATAGTTGATTGCTGTTGCCAACAATAAATACATGCACACCTTTCAAGCTATTTGGTGAAACAAGCCTGATGTTTAACCCAGGTGAACATCCAAAATAAGATTATTGTGGGCTTTTAAGATTCGTGGGGTGATATAATTAAGGATTGACTGCAACTAGTCAATGCACTCAATAGGCCTAACGGGATCACTGAAAGGCTAATTGAAAATATCTATCCTAGAGATTCTCTCCGAGTATATGACTCCAAATAGGGTTTATAAGTTCAAAGGGTTGAGGTTTCTTAAAGGAGCAAGCTCAAGTTGTTAAGTGCGTCTCGACTATATCTGAGAACACTCTTCGATTAATTATTCAACACTCGCGTTCATGTCTGGATAGAATTAGTGTAGGCGTTGTCATGTTAAAATTGGATTAGATTGTATGGGGCCCTATTGCAAATGAAGATATGGGACTTTTTTAAAAATAAGGAGGATAAACTTAAAAACTCCAAAATAAATGTGAAAGAAGGACACAACTTTATATTAAATGGATAGAGATGCCCATACCGGACTTGTTGTGCCATGTGGTGGCTCTTTTTCCTTAGATATATGAGAAATTGAGTGAACTTGGATATAAGATCAATCGGGATTTCATGGATTCATCATCTTAAGTTGTAGAATTTTGAGTTTCCTAATTTATATTTATTCTCTTTTATTCCTTTTTTATTTTGTTGTATTTCTTTCTTTTTGTTGGTTATTGTGTATTTGGTAAGTTGTAATGGTAGAATTAAATTTGTCCTAGATTTATTATATAAGGAGAAGAGATGTAATTTGATGATTAAGAAATAAGGTAATATAATTTTCTCCATTTTTCTTCATAGTACCAGAACAAGGAAGCAAAACTTAGATTTCTTCCTCATTGCATTGGATCCCCTCCAACAGAGGCATGTCTCCTTACCGGAGCCTTTCTCTGCAGCCGATAATACCGAAATTCTACCTACCGACAGAGCATTTATTCCTGCAACCAGACATTGTTCTTGCAAGTTTTTATTCATGCATCCATATCATTTGCTGCATACAGACCATTGCATGTAAACATTCTTGCAGAAGTTTCTTTAGCGGCCAGATGTTCCTTTTGGAGCATATATTCTTACAAACATTTCTTTTGGAACAAAAAACACATCACACCTCCTGTAGCCGACGTTCCTTCTGCAGCAGACAATTGTCACATCATGCAATAAATGACCCTCACCTCCGGTAGCAAGCAACACTCGTAAGAAGTTATTCCAACTAGCTTTTTAGAGGTTTCTTCCCGCCTTATTGCCGGCCATCTATACATTCCTCACCAGCTTACCTTCCAGACATCTCTCACCGTGTGTTTCTTCTGGTCATTCCTCTCTTGAACAAGCAACACCACAACATTCAGGATTCTTTCCAATCATAAACTTGCATAAGGTTGATGACTAAGTATGGGATGAGGACATCTAGTTCTACCTTGAAGGTCAGTTTTGAAATAGAGATAAAATATTATGCATAGACTACCCCGTAACTCTCGTTTTATCACAAATCATAAACTCAATGGTTATAACTTCCTTCAATGGTCCCAATCCTTGTTCATGTTCATTTGTGGTAGAGGAAACAAGGAACATCTCACAGGAGAGGGCATAGTTTCTGAGCTCACTAATCCTAACCATCATTCATGAAAGATCCAGAATCACATGACCACGTTTTGGTCGCTCAATTCTATGACCCTATAAGACAACATGAAATTTGGGAAGCAACTTGTGAGGCTTAATCTAATACCAAAAATACTATAGAATTGTTTGAGATTGAGACAAAACTGTATGAACTCCGCCAAGAAGTGTTAAGTGTGACTCAATACTTTAACAAACTTACAGAGTACTGTTTACAATTAGCTATGTATGAGACGAGTATGGAAGTGCCCTCAAGATGCTATTTTGTATAAAACAGTTGTGGAGAATAGGAGGATGATAGTGTTCTTGTTGGGTCTAAATAAGAACTTTGATGAGGTCAGAGGAAGAATTATGGGGAGAAGGGTGCGTTTGGGGCAGCATTGCGGTGGCGGGGCAGTGACGTAGTATAGTTTTTCTTTTTGGCTGCATCTGAAAGTTGAGCTTTTCAACCAGATTGGCTAAGTGCGGTGGCTGCCAAAAAGTTGCGGTCTGACTTTTTGATTTTTTTTTTTCTGTAATAGCTTCTGTAGCTTTTTGAATAATAGTTTCTTTAGTAGCAGCTTCACGACTGCTTCTTCAAACTGTTGCAGCTGCCCCAAATAAACTTGAAGTCTCTCCCTCCACTAGGTATGCCTTTGTTGAAGTCAGAAGAGAAGAAAGTAGGGTGAAGCTCATTATGGAAGTGTAGATTCATCTAACACTAAAAGCGTTGTCTGCTTCTTTCATGAGTCAAAGCCAGAGCACAATAGTCCCGTATGTGAACATTGCAAGAAACTTGGTCACATAAATGACAAGCGCTGCAAATTATATGGAAAACTTGCATATTGGAAACCTGGTCAAGGGTGAAAAGAGCAAGTTAGCAAGGCCCTTGCTGCTACCTCTTTTGAAATGTTGGCCAACCCTTGCCCCTTTCACCAAGGAACAACTGGAGGTGTTGAAGAAATTTCTTTTGAGCACAATTTAGTATCCTACTAGCTTGATGATACACCAATATATCTTTTCCTCCTATCTCGCTAATAATGAGAAACTTGGACCTTTAATAATTGATTCATGTGCTTTTAATCACATGACTTGAGATATTCATGTTCTCACCAACTACCAATGGCTCACCAACTCCAAATTTGTTAGGTTGGTCGATGGATTTCTCTCCAGAATGTTGTAAAAGAGATATCCAGCTTCTTTTGCGCTATATATTCCCTAGTTAGATGACAACTTACTTTTCATTAACAAGTTTACTCATGAATTGAACTGCGCTACTAATCACTAACTCTTGTGAATTTTAGGCGGTGGATTCAAAAAATGTGATTGATATTTTTATACTGCATCAAACGTTTTACTTGTTCAAGGAAAGCTATTCTCTCAACACATAAGTGTCTTTTTCACCATCCTATTCCGATGTTCCTGCATTTTTTTTGTTTGAATCTGTTGAAAGTCAAGTTTTGTTATGACATTGTCGTCTTGGTCATCTCAATTTTTATTTGTTATAAAATTGTATCTTCATCTATTTATTAATAAAAAGTCAGAGTTTTATCAATGTGAAACCTGTCAATTGGCTAAACATACTTGTCATGTCTACCATTTGTCTCATTATGAAGCCTCATAATTTTCTCTATCATCCACGGTGACGTTTTGGGACCATCAAAACTGGAAATTATTAATGTAATATAATGGTTTGTGTCCTTTATTGATGATCACACTAGAATTATTTTGATATTTCTAATTAAAGAAAAAATTGCAACTACACAATTTTTTAGTATTTCCATAACATGATTTCCACTTAATTTTAATGAAAAATTCAATTTTTCAAAACTGATAATGAAATGAATACTTAAACTCTTTCTTTGGAGCATACATTATAAAGAATGGTATCATGCATACAAGTTTGTGTTGAATTTCTACAATAAAATGAGAACGTTGGAAGGTAGATTAGACAACTTCTTAAAGTATTTAAGTAAATAATGTTTTCTTACAATATCCCAAAATTTTTTTGGGGAGATGCCATGCTCACAGTCTTCCATATCATTAAGAGAATGCCAAGTAGAGTCTTTGGATTTAAAACTCCTCACGATATTGTGATATAGAATATCTTCGTGCAGAATCCCATCCAATTTTCCTCTAAAAATATTTGGATGCATCTATTTTGTTCACATTTACTAACAAAATAGCACAAAATTTAACTTGAAATCCATCAAATGTATCTTCCTTAGATATGCTTCTAATAGAAATAGATACAAGTGTTATTCTCCTATTACAAGAAAATATTATAGCTCCATGGATATTGTCTTATTTGAAAACCAACCCTACTACCCTAAACTCGATATTTCTAGGGGAGAGTTCGGGTCAATATCAAACTTGTGATACTATTCTAGAGTCATCACATTTTATTCCACTTCCTACACTGATCTAGAGCATCACAACCTATCCTACATCCTTATAACCATCTCGTCTCTCATGTTCCACTTGTTGAGAACATCCAACTTGAGAGTGACAAAAGGAACTTCGTGTGTGTAATAGGGGAAAGAAATTCACTGATCAAAATAACAATACTATGTAACCACATGATTGCTCATAACCTAACCTGAATCCACATTTCTTTGAAGTTCCATGGAAAGAGGAATCCAATGAGGAAGACTAAGAAGCTACACAAATTATCCTATCTAAGATTATATTGCGTATGAGAAGTTATCATTGATGCCTGAAATGTTGTGAAACATCGATAATCAATCAAAAATATTTGTCGTTCAAACAATATATTGATCTAAGTCCGTGTGTCGATCCCACGAGGAATGAATTAATCTTCCAAAATTGGTGACGCTCTAGTTTACTAATCCTAGGCTCAGTCCGAAAAATTAAAGGTTTAATAAATTTACAGTTTATAATTTCTACATTTTGTAAAAGGTTCAAGCCTAAGTAAATATTGTGATAATTGTGAGGTATTCTATCAATTGAACGATTCTCCCTTGAATTGAATCTTAGAAATCTGAGTTTTGAGGAGGCTAGTATCGTTATGCGCCAAATTGCCATGATGTTTCTTATCCTGCAAAAGAGAAAACTAGTAGTAGAAAGATAATCTCGAGCCTCCAGCTACAAACATCCCCAAGGGCACGCCATAGAATCCGCAAGGCCCCTTATGTCAACCATGTGATAAAATTATGGGTGACAATTAGGAACATATCTCCTCCTTATCCCCTTCTAAGCGTTTAGTATGGTTTAGAAATCAACATGTTTGGTTCCCTAAATCAAGTGGATTTTCCAAGGATTCCATATTTCCCTTTACGATCACGCTAATCTAGAAGTAATATCCCTATTCTCCCAAATATGTGTTAGTTAACCTAATTGTTCCTCTAGCTCGCTCCCACACAATTTGATCACAACACATTAAGAAATCAACTAGCCAGATTGAGAGACAATGAATAGCATAAGGTTAAAATATCACTACTGCGAAATTTCAGTTTAATCACAACATCAATGTTAAACACAAGGTTCCCAGATTTTCAATTCAATGGAGAAAATGAAATCTACTTGCTTCTCATGCTTTGAAACAACATTTTATTCATCAAAAGAATTAAAACAAAAACAAGAGTTTATGAATGAAAAATATCGGGGAAATACTATGTTGGACTTCCTTCCTCCAAGAGTTCTCTTGGATTACACGAGCAAATTACACACAATTCCTAACACACTCTCCTAAATGTCTCTTCACACTTAGAATTGATGACATTCTACAATGATGTCCCCAAAAACCCCCCATGGTTTCGTATCCTTCCATAACCATCCGGGGCGAAATGACACAAAATAAACATCACAAACCGTAATCCTGCGTCTTTGAGCACCACCGCATTATGTGCTGGCATGGGCGCGTTGGTACTGGTGCTTGGGCACTAGGTAGTTCACGCGGGTTTTCCGCTTGTTCTATCTTTGAAAAGGGCGAAGCTAGAGCATCATGGCGCATGGACGCTGGGGGTATGATACGTGTGTGCTTGGCAGGCGTGGGGGTCTGCACTGATGACGGATCAATGCTGGAGGAGTTTGTCATGTTTCCAATTAAGCCAAACAAAATGTTAAGCTGTTAAGACATCGTCAGGTTTCGAATGCTGGAGGGAAGGTTCCTGGCCTCCGGTCTACAAAGGAATGGAGCTTGAAATTGATCCTATGGCGGAATCAAGAACACCTTCTGATGATGGTTAGTGCTCGAGGAGTTCTCCATTTTTCTAATAGAGCCAAACGAGATGTTAGGTTGTTGAGATAAGGTTTCGACTGCTGGAGGGAAGGTATATGACCTCGAAAAAGGGTTTCCTGCCAGAAGAGATCTTCTGACCGGCTGGAAGAATGTGATACTGGCGATAGGACCTTCTTTGTAGACGAGAACCTGGAGGTGGGATCTTTTATGTGGATGGGAATTTGAAGCTGGACGGTGAACCTGCAGGAAGGCCAGTTGGAAGGACTGCTGGAAGAAGAAACTGTAGATTTTGAGATCAGCAGCTGGAAGAACTGCTAGAAAAAGAACCTTGCAGATTTCTTAGATCAACGACTTGAAGAAGAACCTGTAGATTTCTGAGATCAGCAGCTTGAAGAACTGCGGGAAGAAGAACCTGCAGATTTCTTAGATCAACGACTGAAAGGAGAAGCTGCAGGTCGCCGCCGACAGGAACCCTGAAGGGAAAGACTGCAAGTGACTGATGGCTAGGTTAGAGTCTCTAGGGTTAGAACCGTGGCTCTAATACCATGTTAGAATAGAACCCCAGGTAAATCTTATTGATGCAAAAGGGTATAAATATCCATTACATGATCTACTATTAAGGAAGCGGATACCAGAGAAGAGAGCCCAAACCACAAAAGTAATACAAATATTATTATTGAATTTGAAATCAGTTACAATGGCTCTTCAAAACATGAAATAAACGACAAACAAACACAAAGACACAAACAAACATTTTGAAAGTGTATCCCAAAGGCGGTGGAGGTTGGCCCAGTGGATCCAGAGGCTAGGGACAACAATTGTGAATGCGGGAGAGGGGCTGAGAGGGGTTGGAAGGTGAACTGGAGGAAGGAGGCAGCTGGTTAAGGTGGCAGGATTAAAAACAAATTAAAAGAAAAGGGAAAATAAAGAAAAGCAAATTAAAACAATTAATATGGAAATCTGAATATAAATATTCTAATATTCTATTATATTCAAATTTTGACCTATGGTTTACAATTTTAGGTTTACATGGAAACATAACTCATTATCACATCTTTAGCTTTATCCCATCAGATTGAGTTCTGCTCGATTAATACTCCATTTTGTCTTATTGAAAGCTAATAATGTGGTAAGAAGTATTGCAAAAGTATTTGCGCAAGTCTATAATACACTTTTTTTCCTTTCCTAATTTTTTTCACATAAATATATTGAACATATCTGCAGTAGTTAGCATTACCCGACAACTCTAGGCCAATAACACGGTCAAGTTTGTCTGCCAATAGAGTATGCTTCCTAATGTGACTAGAACTTTGTTTTTCGCAGATCACTTTTTAAATGTGTGCATTCATATTGCTCTCTTCACAGGCTCTCGTTCATTTTTGCACTAATCTTTAATTAGCATGCTATGTGGGCATGCGTGAATTAATGGCATGCAAAAATATTTCTTTGCTCGTGTACATGCCCTTTGCTGTGCTAAAGTCTCCATATGGTTGTCTTTTGTGGGAGATCTTTGCTTATAAGTGATTTACAGGATTATGGGATTGATTTTGATGATCATTCACATCCAATCAAAGCCTTCAAATGCCTTTGTGGAAGCAAGTTCTGCCGGAACAAAGTTCGATCAAGTAAGCATCTCTATTTTTGGCAATAATTATTTTCTTAAGATACGTTTGCTATTTCGTTTTTTTCCATGTTTTTTTTTGTGGAATGATTTTATGCAGGGTTTGTCTACGTAAAGAAATAAATTTGTTTTGCGAACCAATAAATATGATTTATTCACAATTTTCAAAAAGTTTCGCTGCGATTGTTGGCATAGGTGTCACAATCCTGGATCTGGAAGACTGTACATCTTAACAACATAGGACATAATGAAGGAATATAAAATTTTATTTTGGACATAGAGGAGTTATTAAAAAAAGTAGTCATAAATTATTTATACTAATATAAGCAGAAAGTAAAATAACATTTCATTAAATCAATAGAAGCTATATTTACAGTTTAAAAAGGGAATAGAGCAACATCTACAAATAAAAAAATTAAAAGAACAACTATAAAACAAAATCACTCAAAAATAAAAGAATTATAATGAACTGATACATAAACTAAAATAAAAAAAATAAGGCTAATGTTGAGAAAGTGGCTCCTGTGATGAGACTTCATTGGATGACTTATTAGAACGTGGAGTTAATAGATGCTGTCATATGAAATTATCAATAAGTGAGTTTGACGAATCAAGCATAGCAAATAATCACTAGCTATTAATGCATAAACGATAATGTCTTGGTGCATGCAGTATGATCAATAAAATGGGACTATTTATTGTATATATTATATCTGAAATATTAATATAGTGCCTAAATGTAATGTCACATGTTCTGCAAGTTACTTTTAATACGATTATGCTTATAATATATGTAATTCACATTTTTCTACTTTCTCTCTATAACCAAATTAAGTTCAATTAAATATTACCCATTAGCATTTGCTATGGAATTTCACTTGGTTTATATATTTATAATCAGTTTTGCAATATACCTTAAAATCAGGATGATAAACACAAACTCAAAAAAATCTTTAATGATTCTTATAGAGTAGTTAGTCTATGGGCTCGTCTATCGGCTAATCAATATTTGAAAAGGTTTTTTCCGACACACACCTTTAAATACCATCATACATTTTTTCAAATTTTTAATAGTTGTGCTATAAGTAATATGCCGATTATTATTAATATTCCAAACAGGTTTAGTATATGAGAGAAATTTATTGAAATTGAAAGAAATAAATATATACATGAATATGTGCATGAATAAATCAACATGAAACTATTAATGCAATTTTTTATGAATATAAAAAAATGAAATACTTTTTGTGTATAACACCTATAAAATACCAAGAAGTTTAATATAAGTTAAAAAGATAACACGAAAGTTCGTGCTTCCAGTGTCCAAAGCGGGAGAAGCTCTTGTATCTCGCATCCCATGCCTCGGAAGCATGCTAATAACGCGCAGGGTCTTCACAATTCCATTGTCTGGATCGGTTGTCCATGCAATAGGGAATAGGACCAGCTCCCTCCTTTGAATTTGGCCCTTTCTTTATGTCGTTGGCCCTATCCTAATTATCTTGGGCTCATATATTTGATTTTTGTATTTAAGCTTTTAGTTTTGCTTGTGTATCTGTTAGGACAGCCATCGGCTTCCGGTGTTCCCTTTCTAGTGTTGTATTTAAAGGCGAGAAGGTACTCCGACTGTAACTCGTTCAAAGTGGTGTCTACCGTCCAAGAATCGAATGGTGCTCTGGCTGTAATTCAATCCTGCACAGATATTTATCCTGAATTTCCCATCCTCTGCAACCCTCCCTTTGCTGTCACCACCACCTTTCCTCGTTGCTGGAACCACCGGACAGCACTCCTGTCTTTCTGCAACTCCAGCTGCCAGCCGCCACCTTCTACACCTGCTGCCATCCTTTCCAGCCACCTCCCATCTTGGTGCAACTCATTTCTAGCGGTCCCCGTCCGTCTTTGCTGTCCTGCTATCCCCCATAACTGCCGCAGCCCAAAGACATCCCTCTCTTTGTTGTCTCGTAGTCCCACGCGTTCCCCACACTGCCGCCATCCTTCCCGCTTGCTGCTGCCACCCGAACAGCTGTTTTCTGCTGGTCCAGCTGCTCGGCCAGCCTTTTCCCTCATTCGAGCTTGCTGTCATTGTCGCAACTTCTCCCCTTCATTGCCAATGTCTTCTTCCTGTGCTGCTGCAACCCAGTACCACCCTTTCCAGCCATTTTGCTGCTGTCCAACCCCTAATCTTTGCCAACGCCAACATTTTAGCCATCCATCCTTGCTGCCATCACCACGCGCAGCCCTCCCACGTCACTCCCTCATGTTTGCTTGCTGTACGACACCGGGGAAACAACCACCTTGCTGTTTTCTGCTTGCCAACCGTTTTTTCCACCCCCCCGAAGCAAGTTCTGCC